AACAGGGCATAAGAGGGTTAAGGTTGATAGTGATTGTACTAGTGTTATAGAAGTTGATAGTGGTAGCGATGGTGAGGCTGAAGTCGGTTTGAATTTAAAGGCGTCTAGGACTGTGGGTGCTGTAGGAGAAACGTTGGGTGTGGTGGCTAATGTCGAGGGTGGAGTTGTTGATATGGAGATTTCATCAGATGATGAGGATGTTCAGTTTATTGCAGAGGTCCCTCGTCGAGTCGCTGAGGAAGTGCAAGTGGAAGGTGCTGATCAGGTTGTTGTTGTGGTTCATCCGGAACCACCGGTGGTTCACGAGCAAGTTCAACCTGAAGTAGAACAGGAGCAGGAAGAAGATGAGGAAGAAGATGAGGAGAAAGATGATGAAGAAGATAACGAAGATGAGAAAGGTGATGAGGAAGAAGAAGATGAGGTGAATGAGGAGGGTGAACCTTAAGAGGAGCAGGAACAGGGTGAAGTGTTTGAAGAAGAGGCAGGGGATGATGATGATGAGGGACAACAAGTGGATCCCGGGGAGTGGGATATCAACTCTAATGATGAAATTGGTGGTAACATATATCACTACTCTCCCGGGGATTCTGATGTAGATTCGGAAGCATACGAGTTTCCCTCGCCTTAGTAGTTTGTTTAGGTTTTTTTTTGGGCAAGCTTTTGAAGTTTAGATTATAGTTTTTGGTATTAGTTTGAAGTTTTTAGTATCTTTTTAGTTTATTAGATGTAAATCTATATAGATTTATTAGGTAGTAGGTTGTCATTGAAAATTCTTAGTAAATGAAATATGGTTAATATTCAGATTATTGTTTTTGGAGTTCTGTTTTGCTCTGTTTCTTTGTTTTAAAAATAATGTATGTATCTTTTATAACATTATGTGTTGTGATAGTATTTTGAGATGTGTTATTGGTTTTGACATGGAATGCTATTGTTTTTCTTCCAAAAGATTTGTTGTTTCGAACTTGTATGGCTTATTAGGATCGTTTTGCATTTTAAGTAAGTTTATGTTGTGATAAGCTATCCTGAAAATACTGATGAGAGTGTCGAGGGAATAAAAAATGAGGTCTAACTTAACTATTGTGTCGGAGTGGTAGAAGCTTTAATAATTTTAGACTATTTGAGCACTCTTTAGTATTGGATCAGGAATTTTAGTGGTGACAAACTTCAAAGGTCGTCTAAATTAACTATTGCGGCGGAGTGGTAGAAGGTTTAATAATTTTAGACTATTTGAGCACTGTTAAGTATTGGATCAGAAATGTTGGTAGTGACACAATTCAAAGGTTGTCTAATGCTATGCATGCTTTTAGTGAAACTAAGTTATAAAGGCTTTGAAAGGTTAATATTTGTAGCATGTTATTGTTTGACTTTCTATGCTGGTTCCATGGAACTTGATGCTTGGTATAGAATGTCAACCTTTGAAAAATATTGGTTTCTTCCTAAATTTAAGTTCTTTTGATTAATTTTTTTGTTAATTTACAAAGTTTGAAACAAAAACTCCTACATTTATGTCTTTAGATGAGTGTGATCAGGTTGCATGAATCCCTTAAGTCAAATATTTATGTTGGAGATGTTATTATAATTAATTGCATGTTTGACTGATGTCTAAACTCTTTGATTGTTAGTTGAAATCCTGGTTATAAATTGAATACTTCTGTATATTTTTTTTTTGGTGTTGTGTTATTTTTGGTAAGGATGGTAAAAAAAAAAAAGCGTGGGCGAAAGCCTCTGATTCAAGGTTCGTCATCTTCGATGATTGAGGCGAATGCTTGGGCGAATAGAATGTCAGCTAGCTGTGTAAAAGAAAATTTTCATTTTGTATTTTCTGAGTGCTACCATTCAAATGGAATTATTGTATGAGTTGTTTAAACACAAATATATTTAAAATGTAGTTTGCTTATTTTGTAGTCAATCATAATTTGAGTTTGGATTAACACGTTATTTTTGCGATACAGAATATTCCCTTGGATTTTGCTAGAAAGCATTTTCGTAGATTTGGGGAAACAACTGATGTTGTGCTGCAGCTTTATGATACAGAGTTCAAAGCCAAATTGAAAATAAAGACTTATAATGAAAAAATTGTGCAATGTTTTATTAAGGATGGAGTTGATGCAGTGATCGATGAATACCAAGTTCAGGTTGATGAAGGTGCTATAATTGAGCTTTTGAAGCGAAATCCTATTGTTTTATATATACATTTACAACTGAGTGCTGATTCCTGATGTATTAATATCATAGGCAGAAGTGTTGAACTTGTCATACTTGATGATTTAATAAATTTTAGATTTTTGATGATTTTGGTATAAAATGTAATCTAATAATCCCACCTTTAGTCAGTCTTCCATAAACAATCCCACCTTTTGAAATTCCAGAAACAATCCCACCTTTGACCCCCATCTTCCATTAACAATTCCTTTTACCTATAACCTGTTAAGCAGGTTAATTTTTTTTTTTTTTCAAAATCTCTCCTTGGGCCACCCATCCACCACCATAACACCACCTGAATTGCAACCTTGCCATGGCCACCCACACCCCCACCCCCACCCACCACGAAAACTCTACAGCCACATCGAAAATCCTTCAATCACCCTGAATAAACCTACCCAGCCTCGAAAAAAATTACCCAAGCCACGAAAAAACACCACCCAGCCTCCAAAAATACCACTTAGCCCCGATCTAACACGAACACCAACCAACCACCCAGCGTCACCACCAAGACCAAGAACACCGTTCACACCGCTTCACCACCAAGACTTGGAAACACCGCTCACACCACCTTCACAACCACCAACACCCCCACGAAAACCCACCATCTTCAAGAAAATCACCCTCACGAAAACCAGGCCACCACCTCCACAAAATTCACCCCATGAAACCCATCTCCACAAATTTCAACCCACGAAACCCGGGCCTACAGCCCCACGAACCCAAGCACCGACCCAACGAGATCCCACCCCCACAAAAATCTTAAAACTCAACGCCTAACCCCGACGAAATCCCCACTTCCCAATTGCCGATCTCTGGTTGAAGTTTCCTAGCTTGGGTATTCAAATTATATTATCGTTGAACTCTGAAATTGTGCAAAATTGATGATCGTGGATGGGGTGTGCGATTGGTGGTGTTTCTGGTGGGCGTGAGGGTGGTGGTTTCAAGGGTTGCTGGGGAATGCAACGGCAGGGATGAAGAGAGGAGTGCAGTGGCGAGGCTGGGCTAGTGGCGTGGCTGGGGATTTTCTTCTTCTTCTTCTTTTTTTTTAAAAAAAAAATTAGATTTTTTTTTTTTTGAAAATTAGACTAAACCTATTAATATCCGACACGTGTCTTATATAACCTAAGAAAACCGATTACCAAAACATTACAACCGGTCAAGGATTGTTGATGGAAGATGGGGGGTCAAAGGTGGGATTGTTTCTGGAATTTCGAGAGGTGGGATTGTTTATGGAAGACCGGCTAAAGGTGGGATTATTAGATTACAATTTTCCTTTTGTTTATATAGTTTTGTAAAGCTTAAGTTTTACATGACTTCAGTACCATTAATTAAATAGTTTTGTTTGAGATTTTCTGTATCAGTATGAGTTCAATATTAGCAATAGATTTTTGCTTCTATATCGTTAATGAAATATATCTTGTACCGAATTCTCACTAACTATATTGTTGTATTTATCGTTTTGTCCATAATCAGGAGTTATTTTGAGATTCACAGAAAAAGAATGTATAATTTAGATATATAGGGAGAAAGAAATTTATAAAGGAAGAAAAAAAGGTCGTGAGATAAAGAAAGGGATGGATGTAGTGATGATTTAGGAGAAAAAAGAGGTTTTGAGATAGATAGAGGGAAGGTTGTAGTGATAATTCAGAATAAAACATCAAGATATTGAGGATTTTCTATTACTCACTGCATTAAGATAGCTAAGAGAAGAAGGCAGAGTTGGCTAGTGGTGACAAATAACTCGTAAATGATAAATATATATAAAGGCGATTAGAGAGTATAATATCAGGAAATTAATGTCTGAATGGTACAATACAAATTATTCCTGCATTTAAAAGAAATCACTAAATTCTCAAAGTATATACAAACATTTAAATTAAGAAAAACGTTCAACTATATCAACACCCGATATTAACCATTTTTTACTATCGCGCGTCTTGTTAGTTTGCTAGTTTTCATAGTTTAAGGCTAGAAAGTATGAGTAAAACCACATATAGGACAGTAATCTAAATGCATGCACAAATCAGGAAAAAAAAACTTAGTGAAATATTAAAAGCATTTCAAACATTTAGGTCATTTTAATGACATTAAAAACATTACAATTTAGTTGTCTTTAAAATTACTTGTCAAAGGTGTCAATATCTTCAAGTTAGGCTCCTTTTTTCATTGTCTGATTGCAGTAGTAAGAAGCTATAAGTTAGACAAGGAGGTTAAGTGTTAAGCTTAATGAAAAGTTTGTTGATAGGAAATGCTAAAAATGAATGCTTGATAATTGGAGTGTGAGGCCTAATCAAAAGACTGTTTGAAAAAGGATCCTAATTTGTAAAGTCAATTTGCTTTACACATCAGTAGTTTGTTAAGTGTGTAGATAATTTAAGGGAGCTGATTTCGGTAGCCTTTGATTTCTAATTTTGGTGCAGAACTCTTAGTTTTAGAAGATAATATTGGTTTAGATTGTTTTGTGTGAATGTGCTGACAAGGAGTCTTTCTGCTCTTCTCTGTATGAATGTTGTAATTGCTATTTGATTCTATCTCACATCACAATTTGTCCATAAATACAGATTATTTAGAAGAAAACATATATTAATTATTGTAAGTTAAATGAAAATGCAGTTGACTATTATGGCATTTATTTGACTTTATGTTTTTATTGTTGTTATTATTGGTGAAATGGAATCTGAAGTTTCATTTGTATTGTGAAGGTTACTTGTAGAAGTGTTAGTTTTAGTTCAGACTTGAATTTAATTAATGGTGTTGTAGTTTCAAATTTTTGACTTAGCTTATATATTGAATAATTTTGTGAAGGGTATGGAGTATTTTGAGTTAAGCTATTACATAGACTTACATTTTAATTCAATTGTTTCGAGTTCTAAGTATTCTGACATTAGAAATTTCCATGGACAGAATCTCTCTTTCGTTTACCATTATGTATGAAAATGATATTCAGCAACATGAAAAATTGGTATGCATTCTTGTTTCTGTTTTTGTGTACTATTTAATTCATTTTTGTTGATTATTAGTTTTTGGAATTTTTATTTTGGATTTTGATTTTGTACCTGTACTGTGGTGTGTGTTTCTTGTGTGCCTCTAAATAGCGTATTCCAGATGGCTTCAAAGAATTAATGAATGATGGTTTCTTTAACATAGAGTTGTCAGTGAATGGTAATGACAAGTCATGGTTCGTTACTTTAGTGCATGAAGAGTGTGGTAGTGGATGGGGAACATATCTTGATACTAGGTGGTCTGATTTTGTAGAGGATAATGGTGTGAATGCTGGTGATGCTTTGATATTTACTTATTTAGGGAATAGCTCATTTGATGTTGAAATCCGCAGATCCAGGGGAAGTAAGAGAGCTGAGGAAAATGGATATGGTTGAAGTTCAGGTACTTCAGGTAAAAGGCGTGGGAGGAAACCTGCTATTAAAAAGCTCTCATCTAAAATGATCAAAACCAATGCTTGCCTTGCCAAGCTTGCAGCTGCCTATCGTGAACATCATTTCTTAATTCACTTTTACCAAAGCCTGTGTTGATCAATGAATTATAGTATGATTTTTGTTAGATATCTTCATGTTTGTTTTGTTTTTTTTTTCATTCACTAGTAGAAAAATTGAAAAAGGCACCGCTCAATGGCCACCGGTTTTTGAAAACCGATGGCTTAAAAAATGGGCGGGATTAGGCATATGTACATTGCCACCGGTTCAAACCGAACCGGTGGCATAAATGATAAAGGCCACCGGTTTTGAACCGGTGGTAATAATCAAATAATAAAAAAAAAAGCCCACCATTCTCTTTCCCCTTCCTTTATATACCTAACCCTAATCTTCTCTCTCCTCTATCACCTCTCCTCCTGCTCTCTATCTCCTTCGTTCTTACTCCCCCTCTCTGTTCTCTCTCTCTCTACCCTGAATCTCTCTCGTCGACCTCCTCCTCTCTCCTGATCTCTCTTCTCTTTCTCTCTCCTTAACCCTAATCTTCTCCCTCTCTCGCGGTATCTTCCTCTCTCCTTCATTCGGCTCGTCCACCGCCGCAACAACAACCACCGCCGCATCAACAACCACCGCCATTAACCATCAAGCTTATTGTCGCACTTACTCTCTCCTCGTGATGAAAATATGGGTTTTCTGGTCTAATTCAACCATGAAAACTCTAGATCTAGAGTTTTCATGGTCGAATTAGACCTTTATAACACAAATTCAAGATAATTTCGGGGGTTTTTGCTGAAATTCGAGGTAATTTCTCTTTTTTCTTACTTTTATTTTGTTTTTTGTTATTTTTGGTGGAGTTCATGGGTTGTGGTGGTTTTTGGTGGTGGTTGTGGTTATGGTGGGTGGGTGGGTTTTTGTTATTTTTGGTGGAATTCGAAATTGATTTTTCTGTTTTTGGGTTTTGGGTTTTTTATTTCAAAAATTTTTTGTTTTAATTTTGGGTTTTTTATTTCGAAAATTTTCTGTTTTTAATTGATAATCGAAATTATTGGGTTTATTTAATTTTCGAAATTTTTGGGTTATTTGATTTTCGAATTTACTGGGTTTCACTGGGCGAAAATTTTGGGTTTTCATCCTTTTCTCTTTCTGTTTTTTTTTTGAAGCCTTTTCTCTTTCTGTTTCAGCCTTTGTGGGTGAGCGTATACATGCATGAGTTTCTGGGTTTTTTTCACATTTTTTTTTGGAGTTTTATTAATTTCTGGGTTTTAATTGATGCAGGTGTTAATTGATGTTGGATTCAAGACTTTCATTTTGGAATATTGTTATTTTTTAATGTTGTAATTTTTTTTTTTGTAATGTATAATTCATTGTAATTTTTTTTTGTACTTAATACTTCATTGTAATTTTTTTTTATTGTACAATAACAATCTATTATTTGAATATAATTGTGAGTATATTTCATTGCGCTCTTATATTGATTGTGATGTTATTTGCCTTATATTTTACAGAGTTTTTTTTTTAATTATTATTATTATTGTAGCAAATAGCCGAAAAAACAAAAAAAAAAGTATGTTATTGCCACCGGTTAACTGGTGGCATTTATATGTAATATCAAAAAAAAAGCGGGAAGCATAATTGCCACCGGTTAACCGGTGGCAATACTTGTTTTTGCCACCGGTTTTGAACCGGTGGCTTTGCATTAGACTTGCCACCCCCCAAATGCCCACCGGTTCAAAACCGGTGGCATAGGGGGGTTTTGAACCGGTGGCCAATTGCTTTATTCTACTAGTGATTCTATTCTTCTTTCTCTTGGCATAATTATTTGATTTTGTGTTTTATTTTCAATGACAGAATGTTCCATTCGAGTTTGCTAAATGGAATTTCAATGATTTCCGTGAGACTACCGATGTCATTCTTCAGCTTACCGATACACATTTCAATGTGCAGCTGAAAGTCTTGAAGAAACAGAGAGCTATCAGCAAATGTTCCATTAGAAATGGTGTTACTCAGGTCATTGATTTCTATAATGTTCAAGTAGATGTAGGTGCCTTGGTTAAATATAGAAAAGGAGTCCCTATTGTGTTTGACATTGATCTAGTTTCAATGTAAACCTATGGAATGACCATCTTAAATAAGGCTTTGTTGTTGTTAGGTTTCCCTTATTGACCAAATCAGTAAATGTTGGGGAGCATCAAGCACATCATGGGAATTCATATTAGACAAATCATGACAATTAGCATCAACATTAAAAGCATGAGAATCCCGAACATAAGTCTCATGATTGGCCTTCTCCCAATCATAATTATCCCTAGCTAACCATGAATAGAAATCCCAAGCTTCATCCGAAGACATGTCTTGAAATTTACCATTTAACATATTATCAACTACTCCCCTCTAAAATGCTCATTTAATCCCAAATTGATGATTTCACAATAATCACCCTTGGTTAAACCTTTAACACCATCTAGGAAATCCTCAAGTCTATTGAAATACACCCAAAACGGATCATTATCAAATTGAGGAATAGAAATATAAGCCATTTTTTCAAATAAAGAAACACAAATAAAAAAAACAACAAATAGGATGAAAATTATAAACAATGACTAGTCTTAATAAGATAACATAATAGTAATGGAAGTCGTTCCCCGACAACGGCGCCAATTTAACAAGGGAATAAACGCGTCGTCAATTGTCTATCCCTAGATCAAATACAATTTGTACAACCTAAACAAACCTAATACGAGTATAAGGCAAGCATAGGGGTCGAACCACAGAGAACGGATAAACACCACCAAATGTTATCGACAATTAAGCTAGTCTGGAATAGGAGATAAATAAACTAAAGTCTAAAGATGCTAAAACAAGAAAAAAAAAACATTAAGGGAAATGGTTTAGGTATAGCATTCACTTGAACATAAACAAAGGCATAGAAATTGAATTAATTATGAACTAAACATGCTCGAATATCGAAGTAAAGGATCTAATCTAGCCGCCTTCCGGGGTCAATTGGCTTCTCCTAACATAGCCTCTATGTTTCCACATTAGAACCATATACTAGTAGGTACTATTAAATAACAATCGATAGTAATGAACCTTAACTAAGTCAACTTCTGTTTCTTGTTAGCAAAGATTCACCTTTAATCAACCAACAATGTGCACTTGCAAGAAGATTAAAGAATATTAAGCATATAAAGACTTTAATCACTAATAAATCAATTCTAAACCCTAGAACATGCTCAAGATCCAACTACACCACAACCATCCCCTTAATGGGGAAATTACTCAAGCAAGATGAGCAATCTTCCTCTTTAATATCCAAGCTCAACAATGGTGAAACCCTTACTTTCTCTCTCTAAACTATCCTAATCCTAACCTAAACCTAGAGAGAGAAGCTCTCCTAAAACTAAATTAGAGAATAGAATAGATGGTAATTGAATATCCCCTAATTACCCCAAAAATGGGTATATATACTAAGCTAGGAAAAATAGAAAAAGAAAAGAAATTAAAAATAAAATAAATTAAAAAGGAAAGTAAAATAAGAAACTAAATATAAAAAGAAAAGAAAGAAATAAGAAAAAGGAAAAAGAAAAGAAAGAAATAAAAATGAAAGAAAAAAGAAAATAAAATAAATAAACCATAAATTCCCACGAAACATAACCAGCCTCTAATGTTCTTCTTTGAACATAGGTGCTTGAACTCCATTACCACTGCACACCATCATCACCGCACATCATCATCACAAATCGAAGATCAACGGCCATCACCAAGCTTCAATCGTTCGATCCTCATTAAATATCATGTGAGAAGCTCATGCTACGGTTCAAAATGAACCCAGCAGACCGCGCCGGTGGAGGACTAGGCCGCGCCCGCGGTGGTCTGAGCCGCGCCATCTCCCAAACATCTCCTCGGCATCTACCGAAAGTTAGATAAGGGGAGGAAGGACAGGGCCGCGCCCGCGACAGAAGAAGACGCGCCCGCGGCGGCCTGGGTAGCTCCTTTGAGTTGTGGTGGTGCGTGAATTGGGTGGAGATGGAGCAGGGGTTGTTGATTGGTGTGGGTTTTGGTGGATGGTGGTTCAGGTGCGGCTGCTGTGGTGGTGTATTGGTGCGGCGGAGAGGTGTATTGTGGTGGTAGCTCCATTGCGGCTGTGAGAGAGCAATTGAGTTGCGGGTTGGTGGTTGTTACGGTTGCTGTGTGGTGGTGTTGGTGGCAGCAGCTTTGCGTGAAGGTGGAAGGAGGAGGTGTGAGTTGGGTGGCTGAAATTGAGTGGCTGATGGTGGCTGTTTTGGTTGGTGAAAGGAGGAAGCAGTGGTGTTGGTTGCGGGGGTGAAATTGGTGGTTGTTATGGCTGCTATGTGGTGGTGTTGGTGGCAGCAGCTGTGCGTGAAGGTGGAAGGATCGGAGGAGGTGTGAGTTGGGTAGCTGAAATTGAGTGGCTGATGGTGGCTGTTTTGGTTGGTGAAAGGAGGCAGCAGTGGTGTTGGTTGCGGGGGTGAAATTGGTGGTGTTTGACTTGGACCTTGAACTCGAGCCTACACACAAACAAACCCGAGGATAAAAGTGTGAAATCGAGACAAATAAAATAAAATAAATAAAAAGGAGATAAATAAAATAAAATAGAAATAGAGAAGTAACACTAAACTAATAAATATAAATAAAAGTAAAAATACAAAAAAGAGAACTAAACTAAAACTAATAAAGACATAAAACTATACAATTAAATAAAATAAACTTAAAACTAATTAAAACTATGAAAGTAACAAAGGAAAGTAACGAAAAAAAAAAAATCGAAAGCAAATAAAATACGAAAATAAACTACTTCTAATAAAAACTACGAAAAAAACTAAAACACGACAAAATTACCAAAAAAACAAGAAATGTTATTAAAGAGAAAACAAGATAAATAAAGGGAAAATAAGATAAAATAAACACGAAAATAGCTCTAAAACTACTCCCTAAGAGTGACATAAATGTCACTCATCAAGGACTTCTACACTTTCGACTATATAATGCTTCGAAAGGTGTCATGCCAATGCTAACATGGTAGCTACTATTGTATGAAAACTCAATCAAATCAAATTGATCCTCCCAAGTACCTTGAAAATCCAAGGCACACGCCCTTAGCATATCCTCCATGGTTTGATTGGTCCTTTCAGTCTGTCCATCCATTGCTGGGTGGAACGCAATACTCATTTTCAGGGTTGTTCCCAAGTTGGCTTGAACCTTCTGCCAAAATTCGGACAAGAACCTTGAATCTCGATCGGAGATGATGTCCTTAGGCACTCCATGTAGTCGAACTACATTCTTCACATAGACCTTTGCCAATTGTTTCTTCTTCCATGTTTCCTTTATTGGAATTAATATCACAGACTTTGTAAGTCGATCCACAATCACCCAAATAGTGTCATTGCCACTTTTAGTTCTAGGCAATCCTATGAAAAAATCCATGGATATCGAATCCCATTTCCAACCTGGAATCTCCAAAGGTTGAACCTTTCCCATAGGTCTTTTTTGTTCAATCTTGACCTTTTGACAAGTCAAGCATTTACTCACAAACTCAGCTACTTCTCTTTTCATATTTGGCCACCAATATAACATTTTCAAGTCCTTATACAACTTATCCCCTCGTGGGTGCACTGAATATGGAATATTATGACTTTCTTCCATGATTTTTCTCTTTAAATCCTCACACTTTTCTGGTATACACCATCTTTCCTTGTAACTCAAACTTCCATCATCATGGATCTTGAAATCTACATTCTTCCCTTGGCTCATTTTCTCCTTAATCAATTGGATTCCTTCATCACCTTTCTGACTCTCTTTAATTTCATCCAACAATGAACTCCCAAGTGAAAGAGCACTCAACCTTGCTTCTACTTCACCAGTTCACAACCTCTAAGTTCAAACGCTTCATTTCTTCACATAACTCGTCAGGCACAATTATTGCATTCACACCATGACTTGATTTCCTACTCAAGGCATCCGCAACAACATTTGCTTTCCCTTCATGGTATTCTATGTTCACGTTATAGTCATTGAATAATTCCAACCAACGCCTCTGTCTCATATTGAGATTCGTTTGAGTGAAGATATACTTGAGACTCTTGTGATCCGTAAAGATCTTACACTTTACTCCAAACAAATAATGTCTCCAAATCTTCAATGCAAACACTACAGCCGCAAGTTCAAGATCATGTGTAGGGTAATTAACTTCATGAGTTTTGGGTGGCGAGAAGCATAAGCTATCACCTTCCCATTTTGTTGCAACACACACCCTAATCCATTCTTTGAAGCATCACTTATACTTCAAATCTATCACTTCCATCAGGTAAGGTTAAAAAAGTTGCAGTGGTTAAACGCTCTTTAAGAGTTTGATAGGTTTGTTCACACTTTTCATCCCATTCAAACTTACTTTCCTTCTTCATCAAGGTAGTTAAGGGTCTAGCAATTTTCGAAAGATCCTTCACAAACATTCTATAGTAGCCAGCT